CACGCGCACACGCGCACACGCGCACACGCGCACACGCGCACACGCGCACACGCGCACACGCGCACACGCGCACACGCGCACACGCGCACACGCGCACACGCGCACACGCGCACACGCGCACACTCGCACACGCGCACACGCGCACACTCGCACACGCGCACACGCGCACACGCGCACACGCGCACACGCGCACACGCGCACACGCGCACACGCGCACACGCGCACACGCGCACACGCGCACACGCGCACACGCGCACACGCGCACACGCGCACACGCGCACACGCGCACACGCGCACACTCGCACACGCGCACACGCGCTCACGCGCACACGCGCACACGCGCACACGCGCACACGCGCACACGCGCACACGCGCACACGCGCACACGCGCACACACGCACACACGCACACGCACACGCACACACACATACACACACGCACACACACACACCCCGCACACCGCACACCGCACACCGCTCACACGCACACACGCACACACGCACACACGCACACACGCACACACGCACACACGCACACACGCACACACGCACACACGCACACACCCACACACGCACACACGCACACACGCACACACGCACACACGCACACACGCACACACGCACACACGCACACACGCACACGCACACGCACACGCACACGCACACGACGCTCGCACACGCACACGCACACACACACACTCACTCACGCATACATATATCCATATCAACCGCCGGCTGGGTCCCCAGGACGTCGGTTCCCAGGCGGCGGATCTGGATAAATCCTGGCCTCGCAACCTGCTTCTTGCGACCGACGTGCATCGATAGCCCAGGCGATGCTTCTGGGCAGCTCCCCACCTTGCACGCCTGGCCTGCCCCTCGGCCTCGGCAGGCGGCGGGCCACAAACCGCGCGCCGGGAGAGATCGAAGGCGGAGGGCCGGGCCGGCCCAGCCCGGCCCGATGACCGCTGAGGCTTCTCGTGGAGGGCCCCCCGGCTGTGTGGGGGCCAGGTGAGTTCCGTCCGAAAAGCTCATGCCAACAAGCCCTTGGGGGCTGTGCGAGGGTCCTGGTCGTGGGTTCGGTCTACAAAATTCCTGCGGCATTTGTATACTGAGCATGGCTCTATGGGGTAGAATTTCATGGGGTTGGGGAGGGTGTGGTATACAACAAGAGAATCCTTGAGGATGAGTCAGCGGGGATTCCAGGTCACCGCACGATCCCAGACATCCGAGGATCTGAATTTTTCGATCCGGCGGTTTCTCCTGGGTTTTAGCCTCCTCGGCCCGTGATCTGGCCCTTTGGGACCATGCAGCATGGATCCGGGACGAAAAAACACCCCCCAGGAAGGGGTGTCGGGACCTCTGGGGCCGCGGATTGAACAAATCTCAACGGCGGATGTCTGGGTCCCGCGGGGTGCCCGAAAATCGGAGGTTGATAGACTTCCGAACCCCGACACGTCGATGAGCGAATTGGCCGCTTTCGGTTCGCGAGAGGGCGTCGCGGCCATCATTTTTGCGGGTCCAGGTCCGTCGGTTTCGGTCCCAGGCCGTCTTCACTGAAGGGCGGTTTGCCAAAAGGCCCGTCCACCGCCGAGAGAAGGCGCAAGCGGAGCCGTGGCGGCCGCCCTGGCGGTGCCCAGAGAATCACGTCGGCGAGTGTCTGGGGTTTGGGGGGGCCTCAGGACGTGCTCCGAGGACGACTCGGGCGGCCGGGGGCCTTCCAGGTCCCGAGGCCGTGCGGTGGCGGACTGCGCGGCGAGGTCTCTCGGGAGTTCGAGGTCGCCACGCGGCCTGACGCCACACGGCTTTGGGACTTCCAGCCCGGGGCCTCTCGGGCTGCGTGCCCTCGGCGCCGCCGCGGCCTCCGCGCCCTTCGGCAGAGGCGGAGGAGAAGCGCATGGCGGAGCAGGAGGCCCAGGAGGCGGCGGAGCGGGCAAAGATCCAGGCCGAGGAGGCGGAGAAGGAGGCGCAGGCGCCGTCACAAGCGTCCTGCGACCGGCCGCGGGCCTGGGTCGCGAGGACGGAGAATTGGACCAGAAGTAGCAGGAGGAGGAGGATCAGGAAGAGGAGGAGGAAGAGGAGGAGGAGGATGACTTAGAGAAGAGGAAGAGGAGGACAATAACGAGGAGGACGACGAGGGCAAGGACGAGACGGAGGGCGTAGACGAGGACAAGGGGGAGGACGAGGCAGAGGACAAAGACGTAAAGGATGAGGAGGATGAGGATGATGAGGAGGATGAGGAGGGGAGGAGGCTGACGAAGACTCTGGCAACCATCTTGAGGTCTTCTTGAGGCCCTGTTGAAATCCTCTTGGGGCTCTGTAGGGACCCTCTTGAGGCTCTTTCGGTGGGAATTGAGGTCCTCTAAGGGCTCTTGTGGAGGGTCTTGGGGACCTCTTGAAGCCCTCTTGGGGGCCTCCTTGGAGCCCTTGAGTGCATCTTCGGGCTGTCCTGGAGGCCATCGATTAGAAGGTGGGGTCCCTTATCTAGACATCGTCTCGTTGGGCCCTCTTGCGGTGCTCTTGGGGCGCACTTGGACCTTCTTGGGGCCACCTTGAGGCCTCGAAAGCGCATCGCAAGCGGAAAGGCGAGCATGGACAATTCATTGTTTGTCTACGGTATTTGAAGGATGTTGGCTTCTTGGGGTCCTGATGGGGGCTCCTTGAGCACTCGGAGCTGTCTTGCGGTCCTCTTGAAGAGCATGTCGGAAGCTGTCTTGAACCATCTTCGGCTGTGTTTGGCTATCTTGGAGGTCATCTTAGAGCATCGGAGACCCTCTTGAAGCAATTTTGAACGAAACATGGCCCTCTGCCACCTCTCCCCCCATTCCCCAGAACAAATACTCAGGGAGGGGAGCGGGAGGATACCCCTCCCCGAAGGGAAGAGGGTTGTGGAAGAGGAAAGGAATAACTGATTTGAGCACCCACGCCCAAAGCGCTAGCCCTCTTCGTAGGTTCCTACAAGAAAGTATTGCCATTGCGAGAAATGCCCCATTGGACGGCAACCCTCTGGAAATCCTCATTCGTGCAAAAGCGCCATGCCTGGGACCCCAGCTCCACGACTTAATGTGTCGGTTGTGTCTTGCCAGTCCTAAATCGCGCCAGGGTGCCATTGCCAGGACTCCAGCACGGCGAATCAACGTAACTGTTTCGCTCTGACAATCCGAAACCGCGCAGAACGTCATTCCTGGGACTTCAACCATACGCACCCTTGACGCTGCTGTAAACTTTCAAGACGAATGTGCGCGGCGCGAAGGCGAGAGCCACGTTTTTACAAAGGCCAGCCTTCCATGTCCGTCAATTTTCGAAGCTGTGGCAAACTTCAAAGATGAACGTGCGCGGCGCTGAGGCGACACCGAGATTTTGAAAGCCGCCCGCCCTGCATCTTTGACACTGCTGCAACATCTTAGGACGAATGTGCGCGACTGTATTGCGAGAGGCACATTTTGAAGACGGCCCTCCTTCGAAGTTGCGGCGGACTTTCAACGCGAGTGCGAATGTGCGCGGCGCCAAGGCGAGAGCCACACTATGAAATTTGTCCGCTCTACATGTTTGAAATGGTTGCAAGCGGTTGCGGCGAATGCGCGCGGCGCTCAGGCGAGACCCACATTGTGAACAGCGCCCGCCCTCCACCCTTGTACCTCTTGCAAAGTATTGCAAAGTGTACTGGCGACTGTGCGCGGCGGTACTGCGAGAGCCACATTTTGATATCGCCCACCCTCCATCCGTGAACGCGTTGCAGCTTTCAAGCTTCAGGATTATAACAGGTGAGGAAGTCTCTGGCGACACACCCAGCCCGCCCTGGCGACACGTCTCTGGGTGCGACAGGGAGAAGCTATTGATCCGGGATTTTCGGATATCTTTCCCTTATGCGCCTCCCCTTATCGTATTCTTTTGTTTTTTTGTTTCTCTCTCTCTCTCTTTCTCTCCCTCTCGTCTCCCTCTCTCTCTTTCGTGCTCTTTGTATCTCTTTCCCTCTCCTTGTGCCCATCAACTGCTCATATAATAGTGCGTATGGAAGGTGATAATTGTTTCCAGATTGCGTTATTTTCGCTTGGTGGTTCATGTATACTCCAGTCGTTGTGTGCTCGGCGGCGCGTCAAATTCTCGCAGAAGTCTTCGAGCGCACAGAGTAGAAGGTGTACGGAGCGCGCAGAGTAGAAGGTGCACCTCATTGTGCCAATTGTTACGCGGGTCGAGTAACAGGATGGGGAGGATGAAGGAATGTGCTGCTCATTGTGTGACTCCTCGCTTCTGGTCTCTTCCTGGTCTCTACAGCAGGAGGGCGGGCATCGCGACGAGGACGGCGGGGAAAGAGGGGAAGAGTGGGCGGGGGAGGAGTAGAAGGAGGAGGAGGTGGAGGAGAAGGAGGAGAAGGAGGGAGAGGAACAGTAGGAGGAGGAACAGGAGGGAAGGAGTGAGTAGGAGGAGGAAGCAGGAGAGGAAACAGGAGGAGGATGAGGAGTAGGAGGAGTAGGAGGAGTAGGAGGAGTAGGAGGAGGAGGAGGAGGAGGAGGAGGAGGAGGAGGAGGAGGAGGAGGAGGAGGAGTAGGAAGGGGAGGACGAGGAGCAGGAGGAGGGGGAGGACGAGGAGCAGGAGGAGGAGGACGAGGAGGGGGAGGGCAGGGTGCGGAGGGAGACGGCGACGGCGCTGGCGGACCTCCCCCTCCATTTCTCCGCTCGTCCCGGGCAGGCCGCGAGCCCTTGATCGGGAGTTGTGCCCTCCTTCACCCTTGCTCCTTGCTTTTCCTCCTCCAACTGCTTCTCTTTCTCCTCCCCCTCCCTTCTCCTCGTCATTTCTCCCCCACTCCCTCTCCTGCTTTTCCTCCTCCCCTCCCCCTCGTCGTCGTCTCCTCCTCCTCTTCTCACTTCTCCTCTTCGGCCTCTCTTCCTCCTCCTTCTCCTGGTTCTCATCCTCCTCGTCCTCTCTCCCCCCTCCCCCTTTTGCTTTTTTCTCCTCCTCCTCCTCCTCCTCCTCCTCCTCCTCCTCCTCCTCCTCTCTCGGATCACTTTCGCTCTCTCACTTCTCCTTCTCCGAGTTCTCGTCCTCCTCGTCCTCTCTCCCTCCTCCTCCTCCTCCTCCTGCTCCTTCTCTGTCTCTACTTCTCTCCCTTCTCCGCGTCTCCTCTCCCTCCTCTTCCTCTGTCTTCACCTCCTCTTCCACCTTCTCCTCATCCTGCTTTTCTTTCTGTCTTCTCCTCCTCCTTCTCCTTGTCCTCCTCCTCTCGCTTCTCCTCTTCCGCTCTCTCCCCCCTCCTGTTTCTCGTCCTCCTCGTCCTTTCTCCCTCCTCCTCCTCCTCCTCCTGCTCCTTTTTCTGTCTCTCCTTCTCTTCCTTATCCGCGTCCTATCTCCGTCCTCTTCCTCTGTCGTCACCTCCTTCTCCCCCTCGTCCTCCTCACTCCCTTCTCCTCCTCCTCCTCCTCCTCCTCCTCCTGCTCAGAAGCTGTGTGCACTTTTGGTCTCACCCGCGATGAAGGGACAGGGCCCCCGACGCAGCCACACCTCATGTGAGGCTGGGTCGCCATGTCGCCCTTTCCCGCTGCCCCCGCTTTCTGCGTGATCATGGGGCCACTACCCGAACAGTTGAGATGAGCGCCTCTTCCTCTTTCCCTTCTCTTTTTCCACCTCCTCCTCGTTCTCCTCTGTCCCTTCTCCTCCTCCTCCTCCTCCTCCTCCTCCTCCTCCTCCTCCTCCTTCCTGCTCCTCCTCCTCCTCCTCCTCCTCCTCCTCCTCGTCCACCCCACCTTCTCTCCCGCGGGAGGCCAGGTGCCGTCAGGTCAAAGCGCTGGTTGGCCTCAGTTTGGGATCTGAGCGGGCTGACCACCGTCTGCGCCGCGATGGATCGGCCACATTGGTTTGCTGATGCCGCTGCCGGTTTGCGCGCCGTTGCTTTTTCCGAGTGGATTCTCCAGGGGGGTGTTTGCGGTCGCTTGCCAGCGGAGGCCCGCGGAGGCCCTTTGTCGATGAGCGTCTGTCAGAGGAAGGAAACGTACCCATGCTGCTATCTTTCTTTCGTTTCACCCTTTTTGGGCCTCCTGGGAGGCCCTCGTCGCCACCGCTGGATTCGCCTCGAAATTCTGGTCAGGACGCACCCCAGTCGAGGGCCGTGGAGTAGCGGTACCGGTACCTATGGGTTTCCCCAGTCTCCCTTTCAGTCTTCGCTGCACTCGCATCCTCAGGCTCCCCGTCTACCGGATTATGCACAATGTAAGGGCATGAGGTGTGGTAAGGGGGCCACATGCGAACGCTACCCCTACCCCTCCACGATTTCTGAGGGGGGTAGGGGTAGGGTTCGCATGTGGCCCCCTATGTGGGTGGACTTGGTCGACTGGACATCTCCGTATAGTTTCCGGTGATGTGCTGGCGTCGTAATACCTATTCGAGAGGCTTGCGCCGCTTTTTTGTCGACCCCAGATGGGAAGATGTGCGGCTTCGTATGTGCTGTTTACACCGCTTCCCGTCGTGCTGCGCTCGTGGAGTTGTTGCCGAGTTGTCCTCGTCTACGCCCACGCCAGTCGAGGGACCTGTTGGGGCCCTCTTGGAGACCCTGGGAGCGGCCTCGTGGGCGAGTGTTCATCGGGGGTCCCCAAACGGGGTGGTGACCACGCCGTGCGGTGAGTCGGTGGGAATTCGGGGTCACCGCATGGTTTTGGGACTCGAGTCCCTCTCCGAGGACGTCTCGGGCGACAGGGGCCTCCCGGGTCCCAAGACCGTGCAGTGACGGACCGTGCGGTGAGGCCTTGGGGGGTTTCGAGGTCACCGCACGGTCCGTCACCGCACCCTTTCGGGACTCCCAAGTTCAGGGCTCCTGGCTGCTTTTGGGCCATGTCGCGGCCTCTCGGGGGCATGTTGGGGGGCCTGGGGGCCACCTCCTGTGGGAGGGCTCCCTGGGCCCCTGCGAGATCCCCTCTTGGGCCTCTCTTGGGGACCCCTTGCGGGCTTTCTGGCCGTCGTATGGCTTCTTGGACCGGGATGGGCCTGTCCAGGGGGCCACGCGGACCGCCTGGGGTATGCAGAAGCTCGAGGAAAGGCGCGGAGCCCGTTTTCGAGCCCCGGGCCCGTCGGGAATCGATCCTGCGTGAGAAAATTCTAGACGCTTCGCTTATCCCCACCAGCCCATCCCGAAACGATGTCCAGGCGAGTTGAGGTGATCAGGGAAGTGCGGCAGCAAAGAGGAGGACGGCCGAACCGTGCAAAGGAGTGAGGAGGAGAAGGAGGAGGTGGATGGATGGATGGATGAGGGAGTGGGAAGACGGAGGATGAATAGGATGAGGAGGAGGCGGAGGAGGAGGAGGAGGAGGAGGAGGAGGAAGAGAAGGAGTAGGAGCAGGAAGGAGGAACAGGAGGAGGAGGAGGAGGAGGAGGGCAAGCACAAGGGCCAGAGGTCTCTTGGATGCCTCTAGGAGCCTCTTGGAGTATCTCTTGGGCGATTCTTGGGGGCCTCTTGGGACGTCTTGGGGGTCTCTTGGCGATCCTGGGGGGCTCTTCGGGGTCTTGGGTGCCTCGGGGGGGGGGCCTCTTGGGGCCTCTGAGGGTCTTCTTGGGGGCCTTCTGGGGGCCTCTTGGGGGCCTCTTGGGGCCATCTTGGGGCCATCTTGGGACCTCTTGGGGCCTCCTGGGCGCTTCTTTGTGCCATCTTGGAGGAGATCTATCAAAGAAGAGCTGAGCTTTAATTAGCGCTGCCCCCCCAGGAGGCCAAAATGGGGCCAAAACCCTGCTAAAAATCAATGATTTTGGCTTCCTCGCCGATGCTGTTTTGGACGCTCTGACCGCTCCCCGCCCCTCCTGTCCAGGTCAGTGGGGAGGGGGTAGGGGGAGGGGTAAACCCCTCCCCGAAGGGGAAGAGGGAGGGGTGGAAGAGCAAACGCCCTAAACCACCGACGCCCAGAGGGCTGGTGGGATTGGGCCTGATGGGCCCGGGAAGGGGCCGGGGACTGATTTTGTGAGCCTTCCCCGCTTTCCCTTCCTTTTCCGCCCTTCCCCGGCCCTGTCCCATCAGCCCTAAGCCCTCTCATGGATGAGTCTCCCCTCTGCCCCCCCCCTTCCCCCCCCCTCTTTTGCCTCCCCCTCCTCTTGCCTCCTCCCCCTCTTTTATCCCCCCCCCTCTTTTGTTTGTCTCCCCCTTCCCGATCCCCCCCCTCCCCTCTGCGCCGGATGTCCGCAGGCCCTGGCGGAGGAGAAGCGCAAGGAGGAGGCCGAGAAGGTCCGCCGTGGGTTAGGTGGGGGAGGGCGGAGGTCGTGCTGCCTCGTGCAACATGCAGAAGGCATACTCTCGGTGCGGTCGTGCTCTCTTCATCCTTTCTCCTCGTTTTCTTGCTCGTTTTCTCCTTCTCGTCCTCCTCTTCTCTCTCGACTGCTCCTCCTGGTCGCCCCCCCGTGTCAACCCGCGCAGTGCAGAGGGTGCAGATGCATATCATCGGGGATCGCCACCAGCAGGGATCGCCGCCAGCGAAGGAGACGGCGGTATCCTCCATCGGGAGAGGGTTGTGGTCACCCGCGCTTGAGGGCTGGGCCCTCAGACCGGCTGCGTGCCGAGACAGGGCCCCAGCCTGGCCCAGGCCTGCTTCATCGTCAGCTGTGGGGTGAGCAGCTGCCCACCTCGGATTCTTTTCACGGTGAATGTCGAGCCGGCGCGAGGCTGGTCTGCCCGAGGCGACCAACGAGCGCACTGCCGGCGTGGTCAGATAACGCGATCGAGTGGCAGTTGCCGCAGACGAAATGGTCGCATTTCTTCTTGCCCACGTCGGTGAAAGAGCTCTCCAGTTCTGTTCCTGCTGCCTTTCCCTCCCTCCTTCCCCCTGCACCCCTCGCCAGCTTGGCCTCGACTGCCGCGCCATCACCATGTGAGCGACGGAAGAAAACTGGGTCGGCTGCGCCGACACTCGTGCGTAAGCCTCCCGCCTGAGGTCGCGCGTGAGCGCCCTCGTTTCCAATGTAGCGTGCCGCGCTGGCGGCCCGCGTGAGCCGCGGCGTGAGGTCGCCACGCCACCTCGCGTAGGACCTGCTCGGTCTCGTAGCTCACCCTGACGTGGCGCCGTGGCGTCAGCCGCGGCGTGAGGTCGCCACGCCACCTCGCGCAAGACCTGCTCGGTCTCGTAGCTCGCCTGCCGTGGCGCCGTGGTGCCGTCCGTGGCCCCGGGGCGCGCGCTCTACCGGCCGCCCCTCGCCCGCCGCGGCCGCGTGCCGCCGCGGTCCGCCTCCACCCGCTGTCGCGCCACGGGTCACCAGGCGCGTGCCACCGGCGGCCCAACCACACGGATCATCCTGAAGGGTGCCCTCCCCAGGGTGCACAAGAACATCCAGCAAGCACGGTGAACAGTGGAGTCAACACGCATAGTAAGGATGGGCAACCTTCCCAAGGATACCCTTGCATCCTTGCCTCCTCGGTCCATCCTTGGCCATTTTCGTCGGCCGCGCCCCGCTCGAGAAGCTTCGGCATGGGCGTCCACGGCCCTTGCATCCTTGTCGCGCATCCTTCTGAGACGGGCCGACTGTAGGGTTCACCCGGCGCCTTCCCCTGCTCGCAGAGTGCCTGCTCGCGAGCGTGCGGGAAAGCCACGTGCCTGCCTGCCTCCGTGGTGATGGATCTCAGGTCCCTCGCGGCGGCGCCGGGCCACCTGCGAGGAGGTGCTCTGCGAGTGGTGCAGCGCGCTCGTCTCAACGGGGGGGGGCGGGGGCGGCGCAGCGCGGTGCATTGGGGCGCTCCGGAAGCCTCTGCCAGGGCGCCTCCGTCTCTCGAGAAGGCTGGGGGACGCCCGAGCCTTCTGCGGAGGCCCGCCCCTGCTGAGCCCCTGCTGAGCACCAAGTGAAGCCAAAGCCCCAGTGAAAAAAAACGTTCGGGCAAAAGCACTCCTGCGACTATCCTAGACTTGGGGCGCAGTGACTGCTCACTGCCCCCCGTGCGCTCGCCGCCGAGTTCTCACACCTGGCGCCTTCGCCCGGTTGCGGGCCCCGGGGCCCTCAGAGGTCGATCCAGCGATGCAGAACAGGATGAGGCCTGGGGCTCCCGGCGCGATGTTGCGCGATGTTGCACGTTTGATGCAGCCTCAGAGCTGAGGACGCTCCGATGCCTGGCCAAGGATTCGGGGGCGGCCGAGAGGGGAAAGGGGGACCACGGCAGGGTTCGTGGCATTTCCCAGGATTCCATGGCCATCTCTCAGGAGGGACAGAAACACACAGACACAATTACTCGTCGAATCCCCAGGAAACATGGGAAACTATGGGAAGTAGGGGGGAAGACGAAAACCCAGAACATATTGGAACATATGGGGAATATTTTCATTTGTGTGTACTTATTTGTGTGTCCTTGGGCCCTTTCAACCTCTCATTTCAGAACGTCCCTTGCTCCCCCACCTGGGCCGCGCCGTGCCCTTGCCGCCTCCCTCCCCCTCCCTCCCTCCCTCCCCTCCCCTCCCTCCCACCCTCCCTCCTCCCTCCTCCCTCTGTGCTCCTCCCTTGCCCTCCCCACCTCCTCTCCCTCCCTCCCTCCCTCCTCCCACCACACCCCGCACTCCTCCCTGGCCCTCCCTACCTCCCCGCCTCCCGCCGTCCGTCCTCCTTTCCCTTCCGCTGCCGCTGCCGCTGCTGCTGCTGCTGCCCCCGCTCTTCGCCTTACTTCCTGCCCCCGCCCGCCGCCCCCTTCCCCTTCTGGTGCTGCTGCTGCTGCTGCTACGCAATGCTTCTTCTCCTCCTCATTACCATGATCCTAGCAGGCAGTGCCAAACTTATCAGGTGTTGTTGGGTATTCGCTGGGGTGCGATGGAGCTCGCTCCATGCTTTCGAGCAGCTCTCAGTCGCATTCTCATGATCCTATCCCCCCCTCCGCCTCCCCCAGAGATTCCCCTCCTGCTGCTGCCGCTTCTGCTCCTGGTCCTCCTCCCTCCCTCCTTCTCCTCCTTCCCCACAGATGCACAGTGTCCAGCCGCCCCCCCCCGCACATCGTATCTGCACGCGCCAGATTTCACCATTCGCTACCTCATGTGTTGTTTCGCTGGGAGCGTAGTCGGTCCTTCGACAGCGCGGGCCACTTTTTAACCCGATTCCTTCCTGGCCGTTGCCGCTCCCCTCTTTCCCCATCCTGTTGCTTCTCTTGCTCCTCGTGATCCTCCTGCGTCTCCTACCCGTCCTGCTCATGCTTGTGCTCCTCCTTCCTCACCGTCCTGCTCTTCCTCCTGCTCATCCGCCACCTGCTACGCTATTGTACAGACCCCCCGCTCTGATTACGCATCACTCGGTGGCGCGCGCGCGCGTGCGTGTGTGTGTGTGTGTGTGTGTGTGTGTGTGTGTGTGTGCGTGTGCGTGTGCATGTGTGTGTGTGTTTGTGCGTGCGTGCGTGCGTGCGTGCGTGTGTGTGTGTGTGTGTGTGTGTGTGTGTGTGTGTGTGTGTGTGTGTGTCTCTGTGTGTGTGTGTATTGGGTCCACGTGTCTTCTAGGAGGCCCACGTCGGCGGACACAAAAGAATTTAGCGCAATGGGAAGGGATGGATTCGAGGGCTGGGGGCCGTGTGCGCCGACAATGGCGCGGAAGCCGCCCGCGTGAGATTCGTGCGTAAGCGCTCTCGCTTCACATGTGGCGTGCCGCGCGGGCGGCCCGCGTAAGCCACCGCGTAAGGCCGCTATGCCATCTTGCGTAAGACCAGTTCTTTTGATCGTCACTCACCTATCTCGTCCTCCTCCTCCTCCTCCTCCCTCATCCATCCTCTCCCCGCCCGCCTCCAGATATTGCCCCCCCGTGATCCTACCTGTGGGGGGTCCTGCGCCAGCGGGGTGCTCGAAGTGCGGCGGGAGGCGGCGGGGAGGTGTTAGGGGATGCGCAAGGAGGAGGCGCAGGGAGAGGGGGCCCCCAGTTCGCCTCTCCTTTCGGCCCACCCTCGTGTCGGTGTCTTCTGGTCCCGTTCGACGGCCCCACCAGAGGCCGAAAGCGTATACCACGTTTGCACCCCCCCAGCCCGCGAACGTTTGCGGGATTGGGGGGTCGAGGGCGTCACCTTTCACCAGGAGAACCGTCCGCATCACCGAGTCAAGGGGGAGGGGGGGACCATGACTTCCTCCTCGTGTCAATCTTCCTCCCCCCCTACCTCCCCTCCCCCCCTCGGCCTCATTTCTGTTCAGTCCGCGGTCCCGGCACCATACCGATCTTCCTCTTTCTTCTCCGCTTCTCCGTCTCCATGTGCCTCCTTCCTCCTCTTCCTGTGGAGGCATGGCTGGAGGAGGAGGCGGAGTAGGCGACGGTGGCAGCAGGAGGGACGTGGCTTCCGAGACAGACGGCGGCGAGGACAGGAGTAGAATCCATGCGTGTAGAGAGGAAAAGCGCGCGTACGATCGCAAACTGCAGTGTTGACTTGCTGAAGTAATTTTGAAATCAGAAGCTGTTGCACTCTGGAGCATCAGGTAGCAAGTATCAAGTATCTAGAATCCTCCTTCCTCTTCCCCGCTCTGCCTCCCCTCTCGTCGCCCCCCTCGCCCTCCTCGCTCCCTCTCCCTCTCCCTGACGCTGGAGGCCGAGGCGGAGGCGGCGGCGGCGAAGTTGACCGAGACGCAGCATCAGGACTCTGCCTCCGCCTCCTCTGCTCCTCCGCTCTGAGTGGCGCGAGAGTGAGGCAGGAGAGGAGTGGGATGACGATGCAGATGCCGATGACGATGCCGATGATGATGATGATGATGATGATGATGATGATGATGATGATGATGATGATGATGATGATGATGATGATGATGATGATGATGATGACGATGATGATATGATGATGATGATGATGGTGATGCTGTTGATGATGATGATGAATGTGATGCTGATGATGCTGCTGCTGATGACGATGATGATCATGATGATGCTGCTGCTAATAATGATGATACTGATGATGATGGTGGTGATGGCAATGTTGACGACGAAGACGATGACAATGACGATGCTGCTGATGACGACGATACTGCTGATGATGATGATGATGATTAGGTTGACGACAATGCTGCTGATGATGAGGATGATTCTGACGTTGGTGGTGCTAATGACGATGCTGATGATGCTGATGCTGCTGCTGATGATGATGCTCTTGCTGATGAATATGATGCTGATCATGATGATGATGATGATGATGATGATGATGATGATGATCATGATGATGCTGATGATGATGATGATGATGATGAACCTGATGCTGATGATGACGCTGCCGACGATGACGATGATGATGCCGTTGATGGTGGTGATGGTGATGGTGATGATGCTGTTCATGGTGACGTTGAGGGTGACGTTGGTGATGTTTGTGGTGATGATGACACTGATGACGATGCTGATGATGACGACGCTGATGATGCTGATGTTTATGACGATGATGACAGTGACGATGATAATGATGATGCTAAAGATGCTGATGCTGATGCTGATCATGATGTTGATGCTGATGATGCTTTTACAGTGGGGATGCTGCTGCTGATGATGATGATGACGATGGCGACGATGATGATGGTTATGATGATACTGATGATGATGATGATGATGATGATGATGATGCTGAGGGTGCTGATGCTGATGCTGATGATGTTGATGCTGATACTCATGATGTTGATGCTGATGATGATGCTGATGATGACCATGATTATGATGCTGAGGAAGATGATGATGCTGCTGATGCTGATGATGATGCGTGGTGGTGATGAGGATGCGTAATATATGGAGGGTGATGATGATGCTGATGATGATGCTGATGATGCTGATGATGATGATGGTTATGAGGATGTTGACAATGCTGCTGCTGATAATGCTGATGATGATGCTGATGCTGATGCTGATTCTGATGACGACTATGATGCTGATGATGATGATGATGATGATGATGATGATGATGATGCTGACGATGATCGTGATGCTGATTATGATGATGCTGATGATGATGTTGATTATTATGATGATGCTGCTGATGCTGTTGATGATGATGATGATGATGTTGGTGACGATGACGATGACGATGACGATGCTGATGATGATGATGATGATGATGCTGCTGCTGATGATGATGATGATGATGATGATGATGATGATGATGATGATGCTGATGCTGATGATGGTCATGTTGATGATGATGATGCTGATGATGCTGATGATGATGATGATGATGCTGCTGATGCTGATGATGCTGCTGATGATGATGATGCTGATGATGATGATGATGATGATGATGATGATGATGATGATGATGATGATGCGGAGTAGGAGGAGGAGGAAGAGGAGGAGGTGGAGGAGGAGGAGGAGGAGGAGGTGGGGGAGGAGTATGAGAGGGAGGATGACGATGTCGATGAGCGTGATCAGGGTGATGACGCTGCTGCTGCTGCTGCTGCTGTGGGGATGGAGACGCTGACGCTGCTGTTGCTGATGATTACGGCACCTGTGCCACAGAGGGCTTCGGCCGTCCGAAGAAAGCAGGTGGGTAGCAGCCCGACCGTCACCCTTGCTGGGCGCAGCTTGGGGAGAGACTCTTGCCGCTCGGCCTAGCCAGCCGAGTGTAGGATCCAGCCCCCACCCCAGAGGCTTCTTTATGCGGAGTTGCCTTGCGGGGCCTCCTGGTTTTCCCGGGAAGCTTTCCGAGAGCTAGGAGGGCTTCAGAGTCGAAGCAGGCAGCACAGGGTGGCAGGCAGCATCTCAGCAGCATCTCCTGAGAAGCTGCAGCGTGTCCCGAGAGCGTTTTCTCATTCGTTCCCAATGCGCGTGCCAGAGGCCTTTCCGCAGCTCTTTCGGAGCTTCTTAGAAGCTCGTGCGAAGCACCTTTCTCGAGCTTGCAAGCTCCCCAGACATCCTGTCCAGGACCTGCGCTGCAGACGTTTCCTGCAGACGTTTCAGACGCTTTGGACTGCGTCGCAATCTGGGTTTTGGACGCCACGATCCTTTCAAGCGTCCTTCCAAGTCTCCAAAATGCGTTTCACACGCTTTGTACTGCCCCGCTATCTGGGTTTTGGACGCTACTATTTCTGAGGTGCGGAGGAACTATAAATTCCGACGTTGCTGTGGGTAATCCATCGCTTCGCTGTGCCGGCGGGCAAGTGGGTGTGGCGCCAGCGCTACCAGAGAGCCCCATGCAGCGACGATGCTGGTTATGATGATGCTCTGGCTGCTGCTACTGTTGCTGATGATGATGGCGGTGGTGATCATGAGGATGGGATGGGTGTGGTGGTGTTGGATGAGCGAGGGGAGAAGGGGACAGAGGAAATTTGAGAGGTGGTTGTAGAGGTGGGTGAGGGGCGAAATGGGGCGGATAAGGAGGAGGAGGAGGAGGAGGAGGAGGAGGAGGAAGCGGGTTACCATCAACAGATACGGCACCACGGGTATGGGCACCATCAACGAGGAGAGAACCACGACATCAAACAAGTCGACGGCCGCGCAGCCAGTCGTGGCGTGAGCCGCGCTGTTTGTGTCCCGTGCAGCGCCGCGATCAACGACAGCACCGAGCCCGACGGATGCGTGAAGGCATCGGGACCTACAGTCATTATGATAGTGAGGATGGGGATCTTTCCCAAGGGTACCCTTGAATTCTTGCCTCCTCGGCTCATCCTTCGCCGCTCTCGCTTGCCGCGCCCCGCTCGAAAAGCTTCGGCCCTTGCATTCTTATTGCGCGTCTTTGCTATACTGGTTGACTGTACGTGCAGACTGTCATGCCCCAGGGCTGCCACAACAGGCGGAGGTCGAGACGGCTGCGGGCAGCACCCCCGCCGATAATATGACTCCGACGCCGGCGACGCCCGCGCTCCCCACGCAAAGGAGAAGGCCTTCGAGACCATCAGGTTGGGCAGCGATGGCGGCATCGAGGGGTTTGGCTTGGATTCGTACGCGGCGTTCATCGGAAACTGGAACATATACATTACCAGTGGCGGGTTGTTCTTTCAATCCCACGACTTTTTGAGGGTCGGTGACGACGTCGAGTTGATGTGGTGTATACTTTTCCCCAGTCTTCCGAGGAAAACGAAACATGTATACACCAGGATTACGTATACACCAGGATCCGCGTTCCTGTGCGAATTTCAGCGCAGGGTCGGAACATATGGTTCATTCCCTAGTTCAGCAGCGATCGGTGCATATGGTTCGTTTCCCTAGTTCAGCAGCGATCGCAAAAACCACGGAGGCGGACAGCAAGGCCATCCGCAGGGGGGGCAGCCCCCAGGGCAGACCCCAGGGCGGCAAGACCCCATCACGCCATCACGGACCGCGAGCACGTGCAGGGCGGGGGACAGAGCCGGCGGGGCTTCTGAGCACGACGGCTCTAGTGAAGCGAAGGGCGGCAGTGAGGCCATCAGCGCGACCATCAGCAACGAGGAGGCCGATCTCGACAGCCATGCCCTCAGCCAGACCAACAGCGAGGGCGACAGCAACGTGCCGAAGTTCTACAGCTTTCTGGCGGCCCAGCGGACTGAGGAGAATACTCCGATGGCTGGGGGGAGATCGACATGACGGGTGGCTCCGAGAGCATCGAGGGCATTGGCGGCCCGATATGTCCACGAGCACACCCGCTCCGCCGATGTCTGGACGGGCGGCTCCGAGAGCAAGTACGACCACAAGAAGTACAGTATCAGTTTGAACTGTAAGGAGGGCAACCTCGAGGCCATCCACACTGCGAAGCTCTTGGAACTGGAACAGGCAACCAGGGCTCACATGGAGAATCTGCGTGTATCCAGCGCCGCGACTGCGGCTGCACGGAAGGAACTCAATGAGTAGGAGGAGGCCAAGGTGATACATGAATTGTTGGAGAGGCTGGTCAGCAGCGGCAACGCCGCCAGCACATACGTCGAGCAGCCGTTGGACACGGGCATCGGGTGCAACGCGAAGGACAGGGCTATGGAGACCACGTGCGACGTCGTTGGCAGGACTGGACCCCGACCTGAGGCACCAAGCTCGGAACCGACGAGGTCACCGAGGCCCACGAGGAAAACGAGGAGGCGGCCGTCAGCACGGCGCCGCCCCGCGGAGACTCGAGGCGCCACCGAGCCGAGCCGATGTGGAGGGCATGTACGTCTCACTGGGCCACTACTCGGGCGAGGGTCGGGTCCACAAGCACTGCTGCCGCGGCGAGCGCACTGAGGCGCCTTAAGCGGAGCCGCCCGCCATCTCGGGGCCCTCCAGTGGACGTTTCGGGGTGGGGCGCGCCGTGATACATGTGCCTCTCCTGGGGCTGTTTGGTCCCCGCGGTGCAGTCCGCGGTGCGGTCTTGTGCCCAGCCCTGGGTCCTTCACCCTTCTTTTCAGGTGGAGTTCATGTGATGTGCAATGAGCCCCGTCTGTAGCGGTAGCGTCCGCGTTGTCCAGAGACAGACCCGAGGCGCCACCCAGCCGAACCGAGGAGGAGGAAGAGGAGGAGGAGGAGGCGGAGGAGGAGGAGGATGTGGAAGAGGAGGGGAAGGATGAGGAGACGGACGAGGAGGAGAAGGAGGAAGAGGGGGAGGCGGAGGAGGAACTCCAACGAGGCCAACGGAGAAATTTCATATGGAGAAGCTTGGGGGGCCCCCCATCAAAAAGGAAGGCCCACTCTGCTGTATTCGATACCAGTTCATCGTTGACCAGTGCTGCAGTTTCCCCGCCGAACATAGCCCCCCGCCAGGAACAAAAGGAAGATTAGGAGGCCTCTTGGGGGCCTCTTGGGTCTCCCGGGGGCTTCCCGGGGGCTTCTTGGGGGCCTTTAGGGGCCTCTTGGTGGCTTCATGGGCTTCTTGGGGGCTTGGGAACTCTAAAGGCGTCTTGGAAGCCTCACTGGGCTTCTCGGGGCCGTCTTAGGGCGCTTGGCTTGGGGACCGCGATGGATCTAGATAACCTTACTCACAGCCTTGCGCCCCCAAGGAGGCTGGCGGGCGGATTTCAAGCTTCGGGATTGTAAGCAGTCATGTATGCAGTCAGAAAGTTTCACATGCGAGCCCCGCCCGACTTTCCAAATTGCCCCGCCGCATTTGCTTTGTTGATGGAGGCCCAGGCGAAATAGTAAAGAAGGCTGAAACGAAACGCCTGCATCACGCCACCAACACATCTGGTGGTCGGCAAGGCAAACTATGCAGAACGATCATGGGACGAAGGCGTCGGGGAAAGTCGGATGATGAGGATGATGATGCATGGGGATGAAGATGAATCTGTTGATGATGGTGACGATGACGATGATGATGGTGACGATGATGATGATGATGCTGATGAGGATGATGATGATGCTGATGATGCTGATGATGATGATGATGATGATGGTGGTGGTGGTGGTGGTGGTGGTGGTGACGATGATGAGGGTGGTGGTGATGATGATGCCGATGATGATGATGCTGCTGATCATGAGGAGACTGATCATGATGCTGCTGATGAGGTTGCTGATCATGATGATGATGCAGATGAGGATCCTGATGATATGCTGGTGTTGTTGACGTTGATGATGATGATGATGGTGATGATGCTGATTGTGACGATGACGATGATGCTGGTGACGATGCCGCTGCTTATAATGATGATGCTGCTGCTGATGATGGTGATGCTACTGAGTAAGACGAGGATGATAATGATGCTGATGTTGATGCCGATGATGATGCTGCTGATGCTGATGCCGAATAATGATGCTGCTGATGCTGGTGCTGATGGTGATGATGATGATATTGATGATTATGATGACGCTGCTGCTGATGATGATGTTGCTGCTGCTGATGCTGCTGATGATGATGGTGATGATGCTGGTGATGCTGAAGATGATGACGATGATGATGCTGATGCTGATGCTGGTGATGATGGTGATGATGATGATGACGACGATGCTGATGATGATGATGATGATGATGATGATGATGATGATGATGATGATGATGATGATGATGATGATGAGAGGGATGAGAAGGATGAGGAAGAGGAGGAGCAAGAGGAGGATTAACAGGAGGAGGAGGAGGAGGAACAAGAGGGAGAGGAGGAGGAGGAGGAGGAGGAGGAGGAGGCGGGGAGGAGGAGGAAGAGGAGGAGGAGGAGGAGGAGGAGGAGGAGGAGGGGGAGCAAGACGCCGAACCATGCTTCCGTCCTTCCTACCTTCTTCCGCTCCCCCCGCCCTCGCTGTTGGTTCTGCTGCCTCTCGTCGTCCAAGCTACGCCACTCCTCATCTTTGTCGCCGCCGCCGTCGCCGTCGTCGTTGTCGTCCTCCTCCTCCTCCTCCTCCTCCTCCTCCTCCTCCTCCCCTCTGCCTCCTCCCCTCCTCCTCCTCCTCCTCCTCCTTTTCCTCCTCCTCCTCCTCCTCCTCCTCCTCCCCGCAGGGGCGCGAACATGACTGCACCGCACGCTCGGCGGCACGGGCCAGAGCTCTTATGTTCTTATGCTAGTCGTTGATCGTATTCTTCCAGTGCTCATCAGCGACGAAGCGTCCTGGTCAGCACGTATGCCTGTAGCGATATTCGGACGGGCGGCCCCTGTTCAACAGGGGGCGGCGCGGGACCGCGAAGACAACGGCGCCTCGCGCTTCGCGCCACGCGCAGGGCGCGAGGCGGGGCGAGACCCCCCTGGCTGCGAGCAGCCGCCTCCCCTTGGGAGGGCCGGCGTCGCCCCGAGCCGTCCTTCGACGGCCGCGGGTGTCGCAGGGTGCCGGCCCGCGTCGGAGAGGGAAGTCTCCGCTGCAGCCTGCGCGGGGCCGCCGGGAGGGCTCTGCCCCCTGCTCGCGGGCACGAGGCCCAGTGACCCCCGTGGCTTCGGCGTCGGTGGCGTGGTCGTCGGCCAACGTCGCAGGCCGTCGTCGCTGTGGTTTGCCCCTCGCCCGCCAGGAGGAGGCGGCTGCTGCGAGCGCGGCGGCCGCTGCCGTTCCCGCCGTCGCCAACGCGACCGCCCAGGTGCCGTAGCCCCGACGGGCGAACCGACGACGACGACCACGACGACCCCGACGACGACGCCGACGCCGCCGACGACGAGGCCGACGACGACGACGCCGACGCCGCCGACGACGAGACCGACGACGACGACGACGACGACTTAGAGGCGGATGTGGAACGATACCGCTGCCCCTTTTTCGTTTTTGCTCTTTGGGGCTTCCTGGAAAGCCCTTGCCGCCGCGTCTGGATTCGCGTCCGAATTCTGGGTTGAACGCACCCAGGGGGAGGGCCAGGGAGTAGCGGTATTGTTTTTTTCGGCCCCCCAGCGACGACCACCACCACGACCACGGACACGACGGCGGCGGCGGTGTCCACAGCGGCCAGGACTATTGGTGGCGGCGGCGGCGGCTTGGATCGGACGACGTGGAGGCATGCAGCCGGTTGCGGTCCCGCGACTGTCCGCGGCGCGGGCCTTTCGGGCGGCCAAGAACCCCCGGAGAGACGGTTGTGATTTCTTAACAGCGTGGCTCTTCAGCGGTCTGGACCTGCTCCCAGGGATTGCCTCTTCATTCCGGGTCGGTTTTGGACGGTCCTGGGGCCCAGTGAGGTCCCCCAGGAGCCGAACATTGCCAAAGACAGCCCGTCGCGATTTTTCCACGACGCGAGCATGTCAGGGCAAATGAGCGGGGGAAGACTGGAGCGAGAGCGCCGAGGGCGAGCGGCGGCGGCGACGACGACGACGACGGTGGGTATATCGACGGTGGAAGCCAGGGCGAGGGCGCCGAGGGCGAGTGTCGTCGTCGTCGTCGTCGTCGTCGTCGTCGTCTTCGTCGTCGTCGTCGTCTTCGTCGTCGTCGTCGTCGGCGGTTAGTCGTCTGCGGCGGCGGCGTCGGCGTCGTCGGCGTCGTCGTTGTCGTTGTCGTTGTCGGCCTCGGCGTCGGCGTCGTCGTTGTCGGCGTCGAACGGCGGAAACTTCGAGGCGGCGCCGCCCGCGCTCCGGCGCAGGTCGCTGACAGCGCCCCCGCGCAGAACGCCACCCCGGCCCTGAATGCCACGGCGCCGCAGGCTGCGGTCTCCGCAGACGCCGCGGCCGCGGGCTTAGCGGGCCTGGCGGGCCTCTGTGCGCGCCCCTCCCGAGCTTCGGCGGCTTTGGCGTCCTGGGCGTTCTGCGGTCGGTCGGCGGTGGGTTGGCGGTGGGTCGGCTCGGCTTCTGCCCCAGCGTCGGCGTTTTCGCCGGAGGAGGAGGAGGAGGAGAAGGAGGAGGACGGTAACGGGCCTGGTGTTCTTGTGTTGCGACGTCAAGATCTGAGGGGTGCGCGCCTCCCCCGAGGTGAGGCGGCCGGCGCCTGCGCCGGTCTTCGGTCGCCTTCGGCGCCTGCGGCGGTCTGTCAGTGGTCGATCGGCATGCGGGCGAGAGCTACTTCCGTATCCCATATCCGCTGCGTCTTGGAGTTTCGGGCTCGTTTCCCCAGGAGCCAGGGGCGCAGTGGGCGGGCCCGCTCAGAAGGCTCGCAAGCCCCCCAGCTTCCCGAGAAGCTTCCTGAGCCCTCCCTCCCCCGAAGACGCAGAGAACCTCTGGGAAGGCCGGAGGGCTTCTCAGAAGCCCCGCCGCCTTCCGAGAAGGCCCTCTCCTCCTCGCGCCCGTCCCTCGCCGCCGGTGTTGACAAACACCTTGCCCGCGCGGCGCTCGGCCCGCGGTCGGCCGGCCGAGGGTCGGTGCCTGTCCTGCTTCGGCTTCGGCGTCGGCGCCGTCGATCGGCGGGTCCGTTCGCAGGCGATTTCTCGCCCCCCCCGGTCTCGTGGTGTGCCAGCCTGCTTTAGCCTTGGCCGCCAGAAAGAGTTTCGAGAACCAAGAGATGAGTGCCGAAACCGGAGGGTTTTCACGTGTCGGGCCCTGGGAGGCGATACTCGTTCGGCTCTGTTTCGATACTCTCTTCTGGGTGCTCGAAATTGTCTCTGGGATGTGGTCCGTAAGTACGATGGGGACATCATAGCCCCAGTCCACGAGCTTCATTCCAAAACATCAGGCCGCTAAAAAGCATAGGGCCACCACTAGGGCGCGAAGTCACTCGCGGTTCGCAGCTCGCGGTCTGGGCTTACGATGGCGGTTGGGGCCCCCCCGGGGGGGCGGCGCGACAGCGCGAAGTTATTCATTCTTCACGCATCGCGCAGCGCGAAGCGCGAATTTAGTTGAGCCTTTGAAAAAAGTGGGGAGCCCTTGGGATACACCCGAGTTTGGCCCCAAGCTTCGCCCAGTAGGATAACCACACGAAGGCGGGGGTTTGGGTCGCCGTTCTCCCGCTATCAGTCCGTCGGTCGGCGCTGGCGTCGGCGTCGGCATGGTCGGTCGCTGCTCGCAGGCCCGACGTGATCTGCACTGGCGCGTGGGACGCGTGATGTACGTAGGCACATGGCGCCCTTCCTTTATTCATTGGCGTCGAACAAGATATGGCGGTCGCTAGAAAATCTATTATTTTGGGATGGTAGCGTATCAGGTTCTTTCAAGCGCCTTCCCGCTTCCTGCTTGAAGTGCTTGCTTTTTCCCATCAAGGTGTGCCCTGACGGGGTTCCCGGGGGGTCCTTCAGAACATGGTCGCTCGGGTGAAGTTGAAGGGCACCTGCCGAGCCGAGCCTCTGGGAAGCCTCGGGGTGCCCTGAAGCCCCGTGCGGCACCAGCCGGCCCCATACCTTCGACAGATGTTTCGTTTGCTTGTTATCTTTGATTCGGAGGCAACCAGGGCTGCGCACGATCCGATTCGATGCGACTCGGTTCGCTGGCTGGGGCCGCGATTCCGATCCGATTCGGTACGGTTTGGTTCGCGGGCATCGGTCAGGGCCAGCCGCTGGAGCCAGGCGCGGCGAGCCGATTCCGAGTTCATTCGGAACGATTCGCAGGCGATCCGATCCGTTTCCGATCCGATCCGAGCTTGCGATTCGGTCCAGCTCTGGTCTGCCAGCTCCTGGTCTGGCGTCTCGCTCCCGAGTCTTTTTCCCAACCATCCTGTGGTGTTGGGTCCTCGTTTTGAAGATACGGTCCCCGCGTCCTCCTCTCCTCTCCTCTCCCCTCCTCTCCTCCTCCTCCCCCTCCTCCTCCCTCCTCCCCCTCTTCCCTGCGTTTCACCCACCCAGTACAGCGTTTCGTAGCCCCATAGGAGCTCCGCCGAAGGCGCCAGTGCTGCCGCCCGCATGCGTCACCCACACCCAATTCGGCACACACCCCTCACACGTTTCGTGGCCCCATAGGAGCTCCGCCGAAGGCCCCAGTGCTGCCGCCCGCATGCGTCACCCACACCGAATTCGGCACACACCCCTCACACGTTTCGTGGCCCCATGGGAGCTCCGCCGAAGGCCCCAGTGCTGCCGCCCGCATGCGTCACCCACACCCAATTCGGCACACCCTTCACACGTTTCGTGGCCCCATAGGAGCTCCACCGAAGGCCCCAGTGGTGCCGCCCGCACGCGTCACCCACACCCACTTCGGCACACCCCTCACACTTTTCGTGGCCCCATAGGAGCTCCGCCGAAGGCCCCATTGCTGCCGCCCGCATGCGTCACCCACGCCCAATTCGGCACACCCCTCACACGTTTCGTGGCCCCCTATGAGCTCCGCCGAAGGCCCCAGTGCTGCCGCCCGCATGCGTCACCCCCACCCAAATCGGCACACCCCTCACACGGTTCGTGGCCCCATAGGAGCTCCGCCGAAGGCCCCAGTGCTGCCGCCCGCATGCGTCACGCACACCCAATTCGGCACACCCCTCACACGTTCGTGGCCCCATAGGGAGCTCCGCCAAAGGCCCCCGTGCTGCCGCCCGCATGCGTCACCCACACCCAATTCGGCACACCCCACACACGTTTCGTGGCCTCATAGGAGCTCCGCCGAAGGCCCCAGTGCTGCCGCCCGCATGCGTCACCCACATCGAATTCGGCACACCCTTCACACGTTTCGTGGCCCCATAGGGAGCTCCGCCGAAGGCCCCAGTGGTGCCGCCCGCATGCGTCACGCACACCCAATTGGGCACACCCCTCACACGTTTCGTGGCCCCATAGGGAGCTCCGCCGAAGGCCCCAATGCTGCCGCCCGCATGCGTCACGCACACCCAATTGGGCACACCGCTCTCACGTTTCGTGGCCCCATAGGGAGCTCCGCCGAAGGCCCCAGTGCTGCCGCCCGCATTCGTCACCCACACCCAATTCGGCACACCCCTCACACGTTTCGTGGCCCCATGGGGAGCTCCGCCGAAGGCCCCAGTGCTGCCGCCCGCATGCGTCAGGCACACCCAAGTCGGCACACCCCTCACACTTTTCGTGGCCCCATAGGGAGCTCCACCGAAGGCCCCAGAGTGCTGCCGCCCGCATGCGCCCCGCACACCCATTTCGGCACACCCCTCACGCGTTTCGTGGCCCCATAGGGAGCTCCGCCGAAGGCCCCAGTGTTGCCGCCCGCATGCGTCACGCATACCCAATTGGGCACACCCCTCACACGTTTCGTGGCCCCATAAGGAGCTCCGCCAAAGGCCCCAGTGTTGCCGCCCGCATGATTCACGCACACCCAAGTCGGCACACCCTCACACGTTTCGTGGCCCCCTAGGAGCTCCGCCGAAGGCCCCAGTGCTGCCGCCCGCATGCGTCCCGCACATTCATGTCGGCACACCCCTCACACGTTTCGTGGCCCCATAGGGAGCTCCACCGAAGGCCCCAGAGTGCTGCCGCCCGCATGCGCCCCGCACACCCATTTCGTCACACCCCTCACGCGTTTCGTGGCCCCATAGGGAATGCGTCCCGCACACCTATTTCGGCATATCCTTCACACGTCCCCAGTGGGTGTGCCCGCATGCGTCCCGCACATCCATTCCGGCACACCCCTCACACGTTTCGTGACCCCTCACACGTTTCGTGGTCCCATAGGGAGCTCCACCGAAGGCCCCAATGGGTGTGCCCGCATGCGTCCCGCACACCCATTTCGGTACACCCCTCGCACGTTTCGTGGCCCCGTAGAGGGGCTCCACCGAAGGCCCCAGTGGGTGTGCCCGCATGCGTCCCGCACACCCATTTCGGCACATCCCTGACAGGTTTCGTGGCCCCATCATCCACCGGAGGCCCCAGTGGGGGCGCTCGCATGCGTCACCCACACCCACCCAATTCGGCACACCCCTCCCACGTTGCGTGGCCCCATAGGGAGCTCCACCGAAGGCCCCAGCGGCCGCGCTCACATGCGTCCCCGCCACCCATCCCGGCACGCCCCTCACAACAACAGGTTTCGTGGCCCCATAGGGAGCTCCACCGAAGGCCCCAGTGGCACCGCCCGCATGCGTCACCACCCGCACCCAATTCGGCACACCCCTCACACGTTCGTGGCCCCATAGAGAGCTGCACCGAAGGCCCCAGTGGCGGCGCTCACATGCGTCCCCGCCACACATCCCAGTACACCCCTCACGCGCTTCGTGGCCCCATAGGGAGCTCCACCGAAGGCCCCAGTAGCGGCGCTTACATGCGTCTCCGCCACCCATCCCGGCCCCCCCCCCCCCCGCAGCAGCATCATGTTTCGGGGACCCATAGGGAGCTCCACTGGAGGCCCCAGTAGCGGCCCGCACATGCGTCGTTTCCGCCACCCATGTCGGCACGCCCCGCGCGTGTTTCATGTCCCCATAGGGAGCTTCGCCGAATGCCCCAGTGGCCCCCATCTCGGCACACCCCTCACACGTTCCGTAGTCCTATGGGGAGTTCCATTGAAGATGAACCCCGCAGCTGCGGTACTGACAGCTGCATATGGTTGGGTTCTTCGCCAAGCGATTTTTTTGTTGTTTGAGTGCCAGGGGTCCTGGAAGACGGGCCCTGGACACCGACCGTCGGGGGCGGCCAAGAGGAGGAGTGAGGGCCAGGCGGAGCATATATCATGGTCGGCCCATGAACTCTACCGTGATTCGGGGCTCAAGAGACGGGGGTCAGTGCAAACGGAGGTCAGCCAGAGCGCCGGATTTTGCAGGATCCTGCAGGGCCAAGACAAATCATGTTTGCCTCCAGGGTGCCCTGGATTTTTTGGGTGTCGATGGTTCTGCTGTGAAGGCGTGGCGTTCCCACGCCAGAACTCA